AGAAAATTACAAATATTTTTAATTGCCTTAACTATTGTATAATTATGCTCTAAGCCATGATCTTCATGTCCCTTAACTTCCAATCTTCAAGGAGCATCATGAGCATCAAAGGAGATTTGTTCTTTCAACTTTTAATTGTAGTAACTCTTCTTCAATTTTTTATTCTATAAGATCAAGAGATAATCCTTTATCATACTCCTTCTATCATACAATATGTTTTTTAAGGACAAATTTGTGATGAAGCACATGTTCCAAAGCAAACAATATCTCAGATGAGGGATGATTGACTCTAATGATGTCACTTGTCGGACTTTGGATTGTATTATTGACACCCACTAAGGAGGTCAATATCAAGGTTTTGAGATGAACCATCGATTTCTTTAAACCCTCCATTAGGATGAACCATCATTCCTCTTAGGCCTCGATTGAGGGCTTATGTTCCTACATACCCAATAGTCCAACATCACTTATGAGTCGGGGCCTAAGGTAGTTTAAATACTCCTCCCTCCTTCCATTCTTTGAGGTGCCTTTTTAACTTTTAAGGATAAAACTGTGATGGAGCACAGACTCCAAAACAGACAATACATTAAATGAAGGGTGATTACTCGACCAACCTCCTTTTACTCTATGAAATGTTTTCTAAAAACAAAATCGTGATAAGGCATAAGCTACAAAAGTGGATAATACTTTGAATGAAATTGTTATTTACTCTAACTATGTCACTTTAGTAGATTTGGAATAGGAACAATTACTAGTTGTTGTTGATCAACCATAAGAGCTATATTATTATTATATATATTTGGATTTACACTGAAATCTAGAATTTTTCAAGTGAGTTTAATATTCTTGGTATTTTTGAATTATGAGCACGAGTATGTTATATTTTACTTTTGTATTTGTAGGCATGTAACTATACATAAATCTTAACAGAGGCTAACTGAATAATTTTACTTTAAAATTGATTATGATAGAACATTTTGGTTTTGCTTCGTCTTCTATTTAATTCCATGTATTAATTAGTTAGATTTGAACATATAGGTTTAAGCCATAAGATTCTAGTATTATATATACTGAATTGTAGTTAATTTATAGAGAATGAAATATTTTTATGTAATTCGATCAATATGTTTCAGAGGTCCTAAGGCATATATAATTTAAGTGAGGCATATATTGTTTAACTGATATGGAAAAAATGACCTCAAAATTCTAAAACTTCTTTAAATGAATATAATCTTACTTAAACGTACACATACTTATCAAGGGTTTTACTTAAAAAGAATATTGCTTAAATGAGATGTGTTTTTTAAAATGATTATATATATATATATATATATATATATATATATATATATATGTTTGACCTAATTTTATATTTTATATTTTATATTTTTAACATTTTATTTCACTAGTTAGGCTTCTTGTTGTAATTTTAATATGTTCATTATATGAGGTTAAATATATGAATGATGCAGAAAGTAATTTTTTTCTTAGTTCCCAATTGAGTATTAGTAATACGAAGGATAAAATAGATCAAAATAAATAATATCTGAAAGTTGTCACTATAATTCGATAAATCTTTTGGATGTATAAAAACTTGTGATAGTTGTGTGTTATGAGACGATTTATATATTTTTTTAAATTGTATGAAATAATTTGTTGATTACTACTTATTAAACCTAATCCGTTGATAGGATGTGAAATGTTGGTTTTAGAACACAAAGAAGAAATTATGATGTTGAAAATTACAAGAACTAGAAACTTTATAGTACAATGTTTTTAAACAAAATTACAAACCCTATTTCCTTCTTCATGCTACTTGATATGGGGCTTTGGTTTCATAATTAACCAACATATTAGCTTTGAAGTAAATAGGAACTAGATTTGAAGTTAGGTAAAATCCTATTAAGTATTATCTTTGAGAAACCCTTACAAAACAAGTTACTTATTATTTTAACAGATTTGATGTATGGATGTTTGACTCATTTTAATTTTAAGGGGAAAAAGTAAAAAATAAAGCATGCCAAACTCAATTAAGATTTTTTTTTTCTTGGCTGAAGTTAATATATTTGCAAAAGAGGTCAACAGAATTGCATATCTGTTTCGATCTTTCAAAACATGATGCCCCAACACACATGGTCCCACATTGAAAATTAGTACCATCAATTATTTTATCAGAAGGTCCATATCGATTTCCTTTTCCAAAGAGAATCAAAATAAATAAAATGGTAATAAAAGTTTGTATTTTCAACAACCAAAATATAAATGTACATAAATAAATAATGAATATCAAATAACATAATTACTTCTCTCATTTTTCTCTTTTGAATTTAGGTTATGTAAATACAGGAAAGGGTAAAATATTTGACAATATTTTTTTATAATCATTAATAAAAAAATAGCATTTTAAGTTAAACTGGTATGAGGATTTATTGTATTTATACTTTATTTCAATAATTTTTTTAATATTAAAATTTAAATTAATGATAAGTGTATATTATTTTTAATATTACTATTTTTAGCCTTAATTAAGTTTTAATTATTTTATAAATTTGAGTATTTTTTTATTAAGTTTGGACTAAAGAAAATTATGTTAAATATTTAGAGTACTCTTTACTTCTTCTAACTAAATGCATTTGAGTTTTAGTCATAAGAAGATGATATGACTATTACTACCAAATTTTTTTAGTCAATTTATTCAATAACTCTATTTCATTCCTTTTTAATCTTTTTTAATTTGTTAGTCAACTCAATTCTTTCTTCTTTAAAACTGAGTTCATATTCTGAGTTAAAAGAGATTAAAATGAAAAGATGTAAGTTGATTAATGAGTTATAAATGAAAAAAAAAATGGTTAAGTCCTCTCATAAGAGATAAAATCATTTTAAGCAATCAAAGAAAAAATTTAAATAAAAGCTCAATTAAAAATATCAAAATTTATAAAATAATTAAAATTTATTTAAATATGTGAAATCATGAGTGTTAACTTTTTTATATTAAAAAATTAAATATAATTACAAATTAATTCTTATAACAAATTTTATTAAAAAAATTACCAAAATTTATGTTAAAAATATAAAAGATTATATAGGTAGAAATAACCTTTTTTAATTAATTTTTATTATATTTTAATTTTTTATGAAATAAAAAACATATGATGAAATTCATATTAAAAATAGTTATAACATATTTTAATTTACATATATGAAATCAATATAAAAATTATATAATAAAAACATTTTTTATCTTTACAGAAAACTTTTATATAATAAAGACTAAAAATTTGATTAATAAATATAATAAAACAAAAATAGAAAATATTAAAAATATATAAAAATATTTAAAAAGTTAATCCTCATTATTAATTATTATAGATTTTGAGTAAGTGATGTTGTATGTGTTTACTTTTAAGTGGAAGATATATACAAAGTCTGGGTTGACTTTCTAGTTCTACTACCCAAATTAATTTTTGTAATATTCTATTCTTATATAATATTACTTATACATTGAATATGAAAATATTAATAAATATAAATATAGATTTTATTACACCATCCACTTTGATATATATATATATTTTTTGTGATATACTTATTTATTTACTTTGTAATAAATAATAAATCATTTCTCTTTTAGGTTTTTTATTTTTTATAAGTCATTGTTTGTATAGTATACTCAATGTTGGGATTAACAAATTATAAATATTTTTTTAATTTTTTCTGTTTATGCGAGCTAGACTATAGATCTACAAACTTGCAGTTATGCTGCAGAGACCAAACTTATTAATTTATAAATATTACGTAAATCAGTCTCCTTTCAAAAGTGGGACAAGTTGGTCCTCATTGTGATTTTTATTTAAAAAATATATTTAAATACCTATATTTTGAAATTTATTACATATGTTTAATAAAAAATTTAACACTAAAAAATTATGCATTATTATTTGAATAAAAATAATAATAAAAATTATACTATAGTTTCAAATCTTATTCATGTGATACAAAAGAAATAAAAATCTAAGTCAGAAGGAGAGCTTAATCTTCATATATTATCAAAGTAATATGTTATTAATTAATTAAGAATAATTTTAATACACCCTTTTAAGTAATTATTGTGATATAATAAAGTAATAGCTAGATAATAATATTACGGTTTAATAAAATTCTCATAAAACAATTTCTTACAAAAGGTAAAAGAGAAAGTTTCAAAGTTCTACAAACAAGGTTTATTCTTACATGTGATATAAAGTTGAACGTGCTATGCTCATTTTTTGAAAATAAGATAAAAATAGTTGTATAATATTTCCTCGTTCTTTGTCGGTGATCTGCATGAATTTTTGTATTTTCGCTTGCAAATAAATGAATATATTAAATCTGGAACGATACAATGATTTAAAAAAATAATAATAATTTGTTTGAGATCCACCTATTTTTGCTTAAACAAATGGTTTTAGATCCATATCTCATGCTCCTCCATCACTCTTACCACTACATTTGACCAACCCTTCTTTATGTTTTTCCTACTTCCCACGGTTTCTTCACCTACAATTTTATGAACTATACCATTCATTCATTAACCCAATGCATATAGGTCAATTTGTTCTACCTTCACAATACCACAATTAAAAAATATTTTATTAAGATTATTTAATTTCCCTTTTAGAAAATATTTTCCATAATTAAAACGGATTATTCTTAAATTTTTCTTTTCCTTAAACTATATTTAAAGAATTTTGGTTCGGTTTCTCTCGAGCAATGTTCCTAAAGGTTTAGCATGAGAATAACGCGTTTTAACGTTAAGAATGCAAAACAAAAAGCATAAATCTTATAAATTATGAGTGAATGATAAACGTTAGATATTGTTTTTATAACTCTAACTTTTGGAAGTGTATAAAACCATAATAATTACTCGTGCGAACAATGAGAAAAGGTTTTGATAAAGGAGAATTAAATAAATATAAGAAATTAAAATTTGGTATGAAATAGATGGAATACTATTATGGAAAGGGAAATATTGATTGAAGTCACGAGAGGAGGATGAGGGTTTCCGCATGGTAGTAGCGCCAGTGGCGCAGGAAAATAAAACCTAATTTACCAAATTCAGACACAGAGATTCTCATTCCTCAAGATCTTCTTATGTGTTGTCTCTGATTAATCCTCAAATTTCTTCTTTTTTTTTTCTCTCACTCTCTCTCTCTTTCGGTTCCCAAATTACTACAATGTGCTCCATTTCCTCACTCCACCCAACCCATGTCTGAGGTCTTTCAAGCTCTTCCCTTTTTTTTTTCTTTTTCTTTTTTCTCCCTTGGTTTATCTCTTTTATTTTTCCCTTTTAACGTCAGATATTGCACGCATTTTTCCTTTTTGTTTTCGATTTTGTTTTTCTTTCCAAATTTGAAGAGATTGTGAAAGACTGGCGTTTTACTGTTTTTAGCTGGGCTTTTTTTTTTCTTTGTGGATATTTTACGAGGCACATCCTCTCAGTTAATTACCTTGTTATCCAAATTACAACAGAGAGCATGCATAAATTCTAGTTTTTTTTGGTGATGTTTAACTAATGATAGGTGGTTTGGGTTGTTTTTTTTTTTCAAATGTCTTTATTGTTGTGTGCAAGCAAGGAATGACAATGTGTGTGTTGCTGTTTCTTGTGTAGTGTAGTGTTTCGGAACAGATATTGCTAACATGAAGGACTCTTGGTTTTTCGACAATAACTTCAACGGTCTGTCAGATGATATTTTTGATGATGTCGTGGGCTTTTTTGATTTCCCACTGGAAGATGTAGAAGATGACTGGGATTCTCAATTTAAATGCCTTGAACACCAACATTCTGAGGTTTTTTCAGCATCATCAAATGGGCTGTGTGCCAAAACACAAACTGAAAATCCTCAATTTGGGACGGAGTTCTCTGTTTCTGTGAGTATTCTGTCTGCAGTTATGGTGTGTAGGAATGTTGATTGTGATATCTTTAACCTACTAAACTTCTTCTCTTGTATGTTGCCCCCATGGTTTTAAATCCTGGTCCTGGTTTTAGTTTTGTTGCTGAAAATATGGGAAAATGCATGACCTTTGTGATGTGGCTTCAATTGTGGTTGCAGACTGTTTTTTGAGATCATGATTGTCCATACCCTCTTAGTTATGTACATCCTAAGTCATGCAGAACCGTCATTGCACTGCACTTATATTTGAAGAATTAACTATTTGTATGTTTTTATTATGTGAAACGGCACTTATATTTGATGAATTAACTGTGTGGATGTTTTTGTTATGTGAAACCAAAATTACATAATTGCAGCTAAAGGATAAATTTTGTTGATCTAGGTCGTTTAGTTTGGTTGCTGGAATGACTGGTTTGTTTCGTGTTGTCTATACTTTCTGAATGAAATTGTTCTTGCTGAACTTTCATCACAAACCTTTGACAATTCTGTTTGTTTGGTGATGTTAATTCTGTTACTTTGAGAACTGAGTTTTTACTGTTGTTATTCCTAAAATGTTGTCTAGGAATTTATCGGATTTGCAAAACAAAATTATTGGTAATTAAAATACTCATTGGGTAAGAGAATATATTTGTGATGAATTTGTTATAATCTTGGAGAATTAAGCAAAGAGGGCAAACCCTGGCACAATTGTAAAGTTATGCCTTGACGACAGGTTGGTCAGGGACTCATGTCCCCAAAGAGCCTCTTTGCATGTGCAATGGGCCCTCCCCCATACCTTCATGTAACGAAGAGCCTTTCACTATCAGTGTACATTACTTAGGAGAATTGGACAATTAGTGTATTAAGGTTGAAGATTCAGGGGACTAGGTGCATTTACTTAATGGGCAGGATTATTGAGCGACTTTAATTGCATTCCACATGCTTTATTGTTTACTAATGATCTGTTTCCCCAAGTAAAGAGTAGTAGAAGAAGCAGTAGTCTGAATTCTCTTGAAACTATGTTGCCAATCTAATTTTCCCAGTCTTTGCAGTAACAGGATACAATAATAAAACGTGTAGCTGTTAACAAATTTGCAGGAAAAATTTCTACATTTTATCTACTACCGACTCAAAATGACCTCAAGATGTTACTACTATTCTGTTTGTAGTGCTCAGCGTTTATGGACCTGAAGTTAGAACTTCATGGTTGTGTGACTATGTGAGGATTAAGGTTGGAAGCATGATGTTTATCTCCTTCCTCTCCCATTCATGTTACAGAAACTCCCTCTCTTGGTATACATTTTTGAATGGCATTAAACGGCTTAGAGAAAGACAAAAGAGGAGGGAAGTGAGAAAAAGTGAAGAAGATTGGCCAGAAAATGAGTCATCTGATTAATTTTTTATACAGTCCATCAATCATAACTGTCCAGTTCTAAAATTCAAAACTTTTACTATTGTTGAATATGGGGTTTTAGGCATAGAGTGAGGAAGAGAGATAAAAGAGTTTCAAACGCTAAATTAATATTGACAAAGATGTATTCATGAAACCTAAAGCACTAATCCTTGTGTCTATGATCAGAATCCTACTAACTTATTATCGAAACAAATCATGATAACTAAGGAGGAAATAGGAAAACTAATCCTATAAGATAATTTAAGATTTTAGACATTGTAAGAATTACTTAAGTTAAATTTGTGTTAAAATGTTTGGAAGAGGTGTAATAACACGAACTTCTTTATAATTAATTTGCATGCTAAGTTGATATTTTTAAATTTACAGGTGAATAAATCTTAAATCTCAACAATACCTTAGAACTCATGCCATATATTATCTTGGGTGTTGCCCTCATAAAGTGATCGACTTCTGGTAACAAAGCTTGGAACTTGTGAGTGTTTAGTTATTTTGAATGGTGAATGAGTGTGACATGTTCGTAGAAAGATGTAAAATTTGCTCTCATAAGAAGTAGATGATTAAAAGAATGCATGTCTTGTGTTCTTGTATTTGGTAAATGGTAAGATACAGTTCTAAATATCAGATCCCTTGCCCAAAGCTATTTCCGTCTCCATGGCTGAAGTAAAGAAACTCCTTGGCATGGTTGTATTGGATGGCCGGGGATGATTATTGAGTTCTCGTTTGTGCATGTGTATGTATGTGTATACTGTTTTATGGCTATGGAATAGAAAATGATTTACAATGTCTGTAATCACACTTTCTTAAGGGGCAAGACTACCACATGGTATTGCAAATTGAAATTGTAAAAAAGGCTAGCAATTTGAGTGACGTGTGTCTTTTCATGTTGGACCCTGGAATGATGATGTAAGCATATGGTAATTGATTACTATGAGTATCAATTTTAGAACAGTAGCAGTCCTTTCATGTGAGTAGATTTGTGGAGTATAAATGTAAATGTTGGATGAAATCAAATGGAATCCTCTCACTTGTTTATTAAAATAATCAAATCCACTGATGTTGCATCCGATTCTTGTTCTTTTTTATTTTTGTTGGTTTGATGATTGTTTGGCATTGCAGTGTAATGGGATTTCCCCAATCAAACAGCTGGAAAAGGCTCCTGGACCAACATATGGAAAAACCATTCCCCTCAAGAATGTCACTTTCAATGGAAAAGATTTGCACCGATTCCGAACCTACAGCCCAGTTTCAGTTTTTGAAAGCAGCAGTTCTTCCTCTGTTGAGAATTCGAGCTTTGATCGACCTGTCATTCCAGTAAAGCGTGCTCGAAGTAAACGGCATCGTCGATTAAGTTTCAGTCCTCTATTTTCCATTCCTGTCGTCCAGGCTTTGCAAAAACAGCAAAGGACATCTGCCTCTGAATCAGATTTTGGAACAAATGTTGCTGGGAATATGTCAAACAAAGTAAAAAGCCACAAGAAAAAGGATTTGTCCCTGCCATCAGAAGATGTTGAGTTAATGAGATCCTCACATCTGGTGTCAGATCCACCAAGGAAATGCACGCATTGTGAGGTGACAAAGACCCCACAATGGAGAGAGGGACCTATGGGTCCCAAAACACTGTGCAATGCTTGTGGTGTTCGGTACAGGTCCGGCCGCCTCTTTCCCGAATACCGGCCGGCAGCTAGCCCAACTTTTGTTGCATCATTGCACTCAAACTGTCACAAGAAGGTCGTGGAGATGAGAAGCTTAGTCCAGGAGGATGTTAGGGGTTCTGTGTTTGCTTCATCAAATCTCCATGGAAATTCTGTAGGATAATTTTTATGTTGGATTGATTATACTGAGGAAGAAACGGTAGTCCTGAACAGGATCCTCCTTGTTTGTTGTTTTCATTATAGTCTAATGTTATATTGCTTAGCTTCATTTGTTTGATTAATGTAAATTGATTGGTGAAAATAAAAGGTAGTAGCAGGTTAGTGCTTTGCGAGGAATTCGGAGAACATGGTGTTGAAAGCTTGAGAAGTTGAGAATGGTATAATGTAGTTTTCATTGTGGTGGTTGATGAAGCAGCCAGCAATTTTCTAACTGGATGCCATGCATGGCTGTGGGGTAAAGAGTTACAAAGTAGGTGCAAGAATCTTTGCCATTGCTGATGCATGTGCTACCACAACATAAAGTCAAGGATTAAACTGAGACAAGGACAATAATACCACATGCCTCATAACATGGCACAACATTTTAAAGAAAGCACATGTGTCGCTTTTTAATGTCAGAAGACTTCCAAACTAGATTAATGCTTTTCCAGTCAGTTTCAAAATGGCTTGGTCACTTGCCCTTCATAACAGGCTAGTGGAATTTGTTTCTAGCAGCAATGTTCAAAGGGCTGGCCCATTCTAAAGTCCAATGGTCGGTGTGGGCTGGCCTAATTTTTTAAAGGGTCATTATCGTTCTTAATTGTTTTATACTTTTTTTTTCCTAATTAAGATTTTACTGTGCATTTTGAAATTTACATTTGATTATGATCTAAACTTTTATGTAGAATCCATTTAAGTTTCCTCTATTTTTTTATTGAACCCCTTTTCCTTGGTTGACCGTTCATGTATAACCTTACATTGAATGAAGTAACTAAGTTCAGACCTATATTCGGATGAATTTTTAATTTGATAATGCTAAATGATATCATTTCATCTAAAAAAAATCATAATCATACCTATTTTCTCCAAATCTTCAACTTTATTGGTCTAACATTCGTGATGTTACTGTTTTACTTCCTTACAAAATAGTCAAACTATTTTTTATACAATAATGTATTGTAAAAGATAGGCCTTAATTATTTTAGAGGCCCAATAATACACTTGTCTTATGGATCACACGGGCTTTTACTATTTCAGAGAAAGCCCATATATTAAAACATGTTTTTTTATTCATCAACGTTACATCCAAACGACGAGTCTAGGACCCCTAAAACCCAAAAGACCAAAAAAAGATCTCTGCAGCCACACTCAAAAATAACAACATCTTAGTATTATTTTTTGTTTGGTTGTGGTGGTGGGATTTAAATAGCTGCAGACCCTCTTTACGAATGAGCTCCATTTAAATAGCTTTAAATAACTTAATGAAGGATTAATGTATCACCCGATTACTATGAAAAGACTACATCAAGCCAAAAAGAAATTAGTTTGAGAATGACATTTTCTGTTTTTCACAAATTGTTGTAACATCCTCCTTTCGTATGTTGTTTATATTAAGGAGTTGTTATGCTGTTCCTTTTCACTGAACTAGATATAAAAATTGAATCTAGCTTGTTATTATCACAAAGTGTTGTCTATCATTATTAATTGAAACAGTAAATTTCTCTCCTTGATATTTGAAAACACATTCTTAATTGTTTCACTTGAAATAAAGGGAAGGAAGAGTAATTAAAATTGGAGAAAGTGAAAGTATGGTCTGGTAATAATGATTCAAGAGTAAGAAATAGAATACTAGGGCAAAGTTAATACGCTGGTGCTGCCGTGTTGGTACATGCTCCATTTGAAATAGTTAATGGACATGAATAATAATGGTCCTACCTAGTCTTAATTAAGGACTGAGTGAGTTCGTGTGTGTACGTGTTTTTGTCAATTATCCCATTTCATCCCCACTCCCTAATACCTAATTACCAACCAAGTACAAAGCTAACTCTACACTTTAATACACTTAATAATATGTTGTGCCCTAACAACCTAGATTTAACTACACTTTCTCCAACTGAAATCAAACCACATGAAATGCATTAATCCACTCCATACTTTGTACCATAACACTTTCTTCTTAGACACCACCATTCCACCAATTACTTTTCAATGTGCGTGTCATCTTTCTCCTCATAAGGGAATAATCAAGAACCAAGCGATGCCAACATTAAATTGTGGTTATTTGGTGTCTCACTTTTTTCTGCTGCTAATTCTATTCAATTCAAACCAATGAATAGTGTCTACGTTGTTGCAATGTACATGATGCAGTTGCTCCATTCCAAAGGGGCTCATAACATTAAATTTTGTATTGATGATGTCGTTTTCTTATTTGGTTCAGAACAATTAATAAAATTAAAGTGTTGGCCGAGACTACTACTTGCTATACATCATTTGTTCATTCTGTGTTTCTTCTCTTTACCAATATCAAAGACGTATTAACAGAAGTTACAAAACTTAAAAAAATGGTTGAATGGGATGTGGTAGCTGCTGTTTTGGTATGCATGACTGACATAAAAAATGAAGCATGGTTTGAGAGATAGGTTGGTGAAATTAAAATAAGGTTATGTGCCATGGCTAAACCAAGTGGGATGGTTCCTGATCCGACATTCTAACTCTCTTGAGAACGAAAGGAAAGTGTGTGCATGTGTGTAAGACAGGGTAAGTGTGTGTCTCTCTCGCACACGCGACAAAAGACACGTGCCAAGTGGTGGGGGCAAAGGGCAGTGTCAGTAAGAGTAGCACAGACATTGATTAAATTTAACTCTAAGGCTCAGTTTGGTGCAGAAATAAGAACAGAGAGTAGTGGCATTTTTGGGCAAAGAAAGGTGATGCAATCAATCATGCATGCAATCTACCTTCTTCTTCCTTCATCCTCCACTTGATGAATCATGAGATATTAAGACCAACCATCACCGTTTGATTCCTTCTTCTTTCATTCCTTCTTATCATACTTTCAATTTCAACAACACCTTTCTCTGTAACTTCTTTCCTTCATCTGCAACTCATCAAATCCACCATCCATCCACCCGGTTTATATAAAATCTCTAGACTTTCAGATTTACACTTTAGTGACCACCCTTTCAATAAAAATATAATTTTTTTTAATTTCTGTTATATAATTTTTAAATAATTGCTATAAAGTTAACAAATTTATTATAGTGATGTAATTTTTTGTACAGCTTTGAAAAAAATAAAGGGTTTAACTGAGACCCCATTATGTTTAAAGTTTGGTTGTCTTGACTTGAGAAAGTGAGAGGGTTGTATTATTATCTTGTTGTGGAATGCGATGATGCATTTGGTTGAAGTGTGAAAAAAATGAGATCTTTCTTTCCTTTTTTTTTTCTCTCTCTCCCTTCTCCCGTGACACAGAGAACACAACGACAGAGATTCCTGAGAGAGACTGCATCCACGTCATCATTCATCACCATGCTCCTGAGTCCCTCTCCCTACGTCCCTTCATCAATGTCGCTGCCAACGAGGAACAGCTATAACCCATCTATGATTCTCACACGTGTCCATCTATTTCCTAATCCTGTTTCTTCTTGTCTCTTCACTGTTACTTACTATGCTCCATCCCAAACATTTTTTTCTTTCATTTTCAATATAATAAATATATACTCATATATATATATATACTAATTAGTGACTTTCACTTTTTTACTAATCATTATTTCTAGAAGTAATTTTTCTTTTCCCCCTTTTAAGCTGGTGTTTTTGGTAGAGAGAAGAGTACAGAAGGAAAAACAAAATAAACTAAGTACATGAGTAATGATAGTGTAGCACCTAAGTACCTTTGTTGAATGGTGTATATGTGAGAGTGAAAAGGAAAGAGAAAAGAAGAAAGAAAGAGTTGGTGATGAAGAAGTGGTCCATGGTAAATAGTGTGGAGTTGACAATGGAGATAAACGTGGAGAAGAGTATTGGCATTGGCATTAGCATAGGAAGAGATAGATAAATGGATGCACTCAAAGCCTTTTATCTTGAATTATCGTTGTCAGACTGAGAACACATCAGAGTAGAAGACAGCGACACCCTTTTTTGGCTCTGCCTTGCTTTACTTTCTTTAATTTTTTTCTCATCCTGTCATATTCATTTCCACACTCACAAACAACACTGTGCCCAAATTTATGCTCATTTGTCAATTTCTTGGGACCCTATATGTGCTTCTGCCCCACCTACTGGGTCTCCTTCTCTTCAACTATTCACCATTCACTGTTTCAGTTAACAACATTGCATTCTTTTACCCGTTCAGTTCAGACTACGCATGTGAATATTTCAGTTTTGGTGGAGCACCTCAATTACCCATAACCTAACCTAACACCCTCTTGGACAATTTTTCTAAAGAGAAAAAAAGAGCACTCAGAATGGGTGAATATTATTAATAAATGGGATTCTTGGGTACATACTATAATAGATGTTGTAGATTAATGGAGTGAGTGTGGGACGGCAAAAAAGGGACAAATGTTAAGTTATGGCCTTTGAGCAGAAGATAAGAATGAGATATTGATTGAGGGGCCTGAGGGCTAACTACAAAATTCAATTCTTAAAATTATTATCCCAACATTTCTCTATACATGGATGGTTTCTTCCATGCGTCTATCACTTCATCTTCTTGTCTTAATTGTCTCGACGTTGTGTGTCGGTATCAATGTTGATTCTTAACCAACCAATCCTATTCTTTTCCGAACCACATCTTTTTTTTTGGCTGATTTATCATCCTTTTTTCCTCATAATTATCCCCCATCTTGTTGTTATTGTTCTTTCTCATTACATAACTACAAAAGCTGTGTATTAAACTTGTTTAAATGACATTTAGCACTCTTATTTATAACAACTAACCCTGATTGAGCAGAATAGATTAATGGATTATTGATGTTACATCGAGTCTGGTATTGGCGACGTTGTCGGTTCACCTAAAGGACTTGTTTGGAGTAAGCCAAGTTGGTCTGATTAATTCCTAAGCTTTTTCCTCAGCAGCATGGAAAGTTATTCCTTTTAACTCTTACAGGATAATCTACCCTATTTTGACTATCACTATATGCATATGCCCTTACAATACTTCCTGAATTATGCTATGTATCGTACATGCTGGTGCTTTCTCTTGTTGTTGTACCTATTGTTTTTGTCGCCATCTGCCTAGTTATAACTCATTTTTCTCTCTTTCAGCCTTTTTCTTTTTCCTTACATTTTTTCCATTCAGTTCAACTTTCATTGATTTGATATCTCATCACCATCCAATATTAATGTTAATGTTGATG